CTGAATTTTATTTTCTTAATCTTAGCTTTATGGTAAATATTAACACTTATGTTGGCTGAAACCCATAAAATTCATACTTATGGAGCATAAATATAGATATGATAAATGTGTAATGTACAAATAAAATCATAACAGCAGTTCTGTAAGTTTATGAAGAATTAAAATTTCATGTACAAGATAAATACCATGGTTTTCAACCAAACTTGTGAGACAATATCACTGTTCTTTCCAGTGTGCTATCTTCAGTGGAAACTCTGTCAGGTCTGCAACTAAATGAAAATTGCTTTGAAAATATATTAAGTAACAAAAGTAATTCTAAAGGATCGTTTCTTTTTAAGTGCAGAACTTCCAAGGAGAGCATTAGGAAAATATTTGTGGCACTCCAGAACACATCAGTCTCACGCAGTAGAGCGGCTGTGACAGCAGATGACAGGGAGCTCCCAGGCAGACAAACCGTGCAGCACAGCAGATGCTGCTCTCACATTGCCTGACCCTGGATCCTGTCCCACCCCTGCAGCAGACCCAGAGCAATTACACTGCAGCTCAGGGTGTTAGCAAGCCTTTGAAGGGAGCATCTGGTTCAACTAATGTTTTCTCTGCTCATTAATAACAGGAACAAGCGGCAGTAGCTCACAGAACAGCACACGGCCTCGGCAACAAATAATGACCATTAACTCCATGCAGTGATGAAGGTGCCAGAAAATATCATATGCTTTGGGGATGTATTCCCCACAATCAGAATATTTTCTGGTGGGAAAACTTAGATATCTATGAAAAAGAGCAATACAAAATAGTCCAGTGAAATTCAGTATATAACAGTTACACAGTCTTCTTTTTTTGTTTCTGTTTTGTTGGGTTTTTTAAATGGAAAAACCTTTTCATAATCAATCCGAGATGAAAAGTTGTTGTAAAGTGTTTATTCTAATTTATTACATACATACATGTGCCCTTAGTAAGGGAGCCAAAGTGTCCACCACAAATTTCTATAAAATTATTTGGTCTCAATAACCCTCAGCTTGCTGTTCCCAGCTGGAAAGAGTGTTCCTTTTAATAACCAATTCAATAAACTGCTGAAAAATGCTTTGTATAATATAGTATTGCCATAGATCTGCTGTTTATCTCTGTCATTACACATTGCATTCAATCAATTTACAAATGTTGCTGTGTTCCTTTTGTGCTAGTTCTTCTTATGGCATCCTAAACACAAATCTAAAGATCAATACCTTGTCTACTGAAAAAAAAAATGGACATAACTAATGAATAATTTTATTTATAATAAAAAGTCCTAGTCCCCAAATGGATTCTGCTAATGTTGAAAATCATTTTTCATATTTAACTCGAGGAAAACAAGTACCCTGCACAACACCATGAGAAAGGCAGTGATAAAAACCAGTTCATATTTATTGAATATGTGAGCAAAACCATGTAAAGCTCTGATGCAGGGCTAAGAAAACACGAATAAAATGGTAGGTCATTCACAAAGTATTTGTTGCCATATTAAAGCACAAGTCCATGTCAAAGAGCAGGTGGAGTTTGTTTCAAACAGCACCACAGTTCTGCTCTATGGAACTATGGAAGCAGCAAGGCTCTGAATGAAGTGATTCCAGAAAGAAGCCAAGGAGAAGCTGAGCTCATGCTGTTTGCATGAGCTGATTCAGTTTGTCTTGTGCCTTTTGTGTTACAGAATCAATGCATTTGCTTACTGCAGACACATCCCTGCACTGCTCCAGCCACTGATTCGCTGCCTCCTCCAAAAAAACCACAGAGCTGTTCAAGGGAGCCACAAGTGACTGCTTTTCACAATCACTCTCTGTAAAGCAGCAAGCTGACAGAAAAGAGAGGAAACAAGGACTCTTGTAGAAAAGGGAACGGGTACCTGTGTAAGAGTATCTCAGCAAGCTTCCAGAATGCCCAGCTACCCCCTCTCCATTCCCAAGCTTACAGCCCAGAAGGGAACTGAATACAGTAGTCGTGTTCCCACCCAGACTCCTAGCCCTGCAACAACGCCAGAAACTCATCAAAAAAGTACACCCCAAAACCCAGGATCTCAATAATCAACACTGTCCCAATGCTAAGTGCCTTCTGCTCCAGTATCAGACAAGGAGAAGGTAAGAGCAGAGCAGGTACAGACCCCTTACTATTACAGGTGTTAAGTGACAGTGTCTTCAGACAGCCCGTGGTCCAACAGCTCTGTCTTTGCCTGCTAGGTGACAGCAAAGGGACTGGATGTCCTGAGGGGAACAGGCACTAACCCTGCACCCTGACCACCTGCAGCTCTCCCCATGCCAGAAGAGGTCAATGTTTCCTACTGTCACACACAAGTGCACACTGGAGCCTGCACACTAAAGATTCCAGTTTAATGTTGGATAGCCCTTACTCATTAATAAGAACCCAGCACCTTCCTATCCAAGGATCTGCAGTAATCACTCGAAGGGATCCCAATACAAACAGGTTCCTGAGTCTGTGAATTTGGTGCACCCATCGGACAGAAGTCTAATGCTGGGAAAAATGAGGCAGCTCTGTCCAGGAACAGCAGAACTCTTTCCTCACCATAAATACTATATTCTTACTCCACCTAATTTTGGACTATTAGCACAATTTGCCTTTCAAATGTCAAGCTAAATTCACAGGATTGGCAGCTCGAATAAACAAAACACAACTTTGCAATGTGTTAACTGAACAAGCCTGCTTTGGCATTGTTCAAGTTACACTAAACTCCACAAGGCCATTGTGACAGACTTTTTCCCAGAGTATAGTTTTATTTCAAAACTATTACTGCAATTTCATAATTCCAACCCTATGTTCTGTTTCAAGATGGAATTTCAACCTTACTAGTTAATTAAAGCCACCACCTGGAGTGATCTGGCTTTCAAACTGATTTCCTTTGTCTCTCTAATTCACATACATTAATATTTTATTTTCTGCTGAAGAAAAAAAAAATGTCACACATGTGCCAAAGACAAGGCAGATAAAATTATTGCAATAAAACAAAGAAAATACACTTCTTACTGCCAGGTCTCAAGATGAATGCTGCATTATACAGACATTTTAAAAGGCTTACAACTGCAAATTGCTCTATTTTACATACTGTATTCTAGCCTTTACATCAAGATCTCTCCTAATTTCTTCTTATTGTAATGAGAAAGGAAAAGGGTTGGGTTTTTATTACCTGAACATTTATTCAATAGAGAAAGAAAGACTACATTATATATTACAACACAAGCCATTAAAACAATGTGACACTATAAAATACACTGCCATACTCATTATGGGATCACAAAGATAAACTCTGAGCAAATAAATGTATCTGCCAAAAGTCAGCAATAATTATACAACAAGAGTTTATAATCTTTAATTATTTAAGAAGAAAAGAAGCTTGTAATAATTAAGTTTTATAGGCTCCTTAACTTGTCATTACTAGGTGCTCACAAAACTCTAAAACAAGAATGCTTCATCTGAAATACTCTGTTTTTAACAACAGATGCAATTGTTCACTCACTGATTAATTTAAAAAAAAATAGTCAAATATTGTTTGTAAAACCTGCACTCACAGAACAGATAACAGTTTATTTACTCTCTGATCCACACAATGCATACAGCAACTGCTCAGGCACTTACAGGCCCTGCATCACACAGTGACTGATGTGACACTGTTTTCACATAGCTTTGAAAATGTTTTTTCTTATGACAAATCTGTAAATCACCTTGGATTTACATCAGGAATTTCAGAAACTCGAAGTTCAGGAAAACTGCTAATTTAATTCATTAAAATATATTGGTGAGACAGTAACACCTTTAAAGCTTTTATGAAGTCTGTGCACCTTTGCCATGATCTGACTTCTGATACAAACACCATTCAAAACAGGCGGAGAAAAAAATACAGTATTGAACAATTATACTCTACAGAAGGGATGGGAGGAAAGGAATGTCCCATATTTCAGAAGAAATATATTTGTGGGTTTAAAAAATATGTATTAAAATTTACTTGATTTTAAATTATGAAAGAAACAACATAAAACTACAAAACTAACAAGACTTTCAATAAACTCCAGACAAGTTCCTTTTTTCCCCAAACACAGTCATTCATTGCCTAACTGAGCTCCTATTAAAATTTTATCTTGAACATCTATGGAAAAAGTGATCAGTCTTGATTATTTCTGAAAAATTGCACTTTCAGCCACTGAAATCAGCACAAGTTTCAGAGCAGCAGAATTTTGACTGGAAAAATAACACACTACACTACAAAATACATTGAATAGGTACATTGAGCATCTTGTATAATCAAGTTACAATATAGTTTCTAACTCAAGAATTTTACTTATACTATGAGGCTTCATATTTTCATCATGAAATGTGTGCACTATACAGATGGTTTATTTAATCCATTCCCACCTAAATTAATCAAAGCAATCTGTCCCCCAAAAAAAAGTCTTCAAAGTCTTCATAAAGGATTCTACTGGCATTTGACAAATGGTGTACATTTAGCCAGGAAAAGTTTCAAATCCTCCATAAAGAAGTTGCCACATCTAAAAATAAGTGACATTATTAAAAGAGAAGCGGGATGTGTTATTTAACATAATATGGAATTTAAACAGTACCACCTCAGATAGACTTTAAAATGCTTTTAGTAGCACCTGGTTGTTTATACATCTTCAGTGGTGAAAAGGTCAATAGAAATTCACCTCGAAGGTCACAGTTGCTAAGCAACTGTTTTCAGCAGTTCTGCAACACTGATCAAGCATCTTCTGATCAAGCATGACTGGCTGGTTTTGGAATAAACCCGTGTCACATCCTACCTGGCCTTCCAAGAGCCCGAGGCAGTCCTGCTTTTCCCAGGAGCACAGGGAAGGGAAAGGGAAAGGGAAAGGGAAAGGGAAAGGGAAAGGGAAAGGGAAAGGGAAAGGGAAAGGGAAAGGGAAAGG